TTTGATGTTTCCTTATCCTTGATCTTACAAGGCGCCTTGAGACATTGGTGGAAGGCGCCTTACAAATACATGTACAATGTCCCTACATGTTCCTTTTCAGGGTTAAGGGTTCCTTGCACTGAGTATTTGACAGAACAATTGGGTTTCCAAACATTCCCAAATCTTTTTTGGATTCATTTATAAAAAAAACACTAAGCGACCAGTAACAAGCAGCACTATTAAAGTTGGTATATATGCGTTAATAGGTGTCTTGAATAGCGCAAGGTTCTTATTATTATTCCTACAATAATTTGGGGAAAACTAAGAGACGATGGTGGCAAGATGTAATTCCAGAGTGGAGCAATGGAAGTGAAGACGCAGAAAGAAGAAGTGAGGTGACCGGCAGTGTGGTGGGTGAGTGTGGTGGGTGAGTGAGTGGATGAGTGTGCGGGTGAATGAGTGGGTGAGTGCGTGTGTGAGTAAGTGGGTGAGTGTGTGGATGAGTGTGTGGATGAGTGAGTGGGTGAGTGTGTGGGTAAGTGTGCGGGTGAGTGAGTGGGTGAGTGCGTGTGTGAGTAAGTGGGTGAGTGTGCGGGTGAGTGAGTGTGCGGGTGAGTGAGTGTATTGTTGCGACCGGAAGTGTGGTGAGTAGGTGAGAATGTACATGAGTGAGTGAGGTGTTGTCGGTAGTGTAGTGGTAAGCTACGAACCCGGCGACGCGAGTTCGATTCCCGCTCACGACTAACACCGGCGACTATTATCTAAACCGGTCCTGGACCTCCCCTAGGTGGACTCATCCTCAAATAAGTATCTAGTGCGGTGTACAAACATCTCCACTCGGGAGACAAAGGCAGCCGGGCGTTGTGCTGATCACCCTGTGTGCTGTTCCGGTCTTCACAGCACTTATCCCAAACAGTCTCTTAAGGCTATAAGGGGGAATCTTTGTTTCGTGTTGGTGTGGTGAGTGAGTAGGGGGGTGAGTGAGTAGGGGGGTGAGTGAGTAGGGGGGTGAGTGAGTAGGGGGGTGAGTGAGTAGGGGGGTGAGTGAGTAGGGGGGTGAGTGAGTAGGGGGGTGAGTGAGTAGGGGGGTGAGTGAGTAGGGGGTGAGTGAGTAGGGGAGTGAGTGAGTAAGGGGGTGAGTGAGTAGGGGTGAGTGATTGTGTTTTGAGCTTCAGTGTGTGGTGGTTGAACACACAGTAGTGGATGAGACGTAACAGAGTTTGCTTGACCGAGTTCGCAACACGGGCGGAGGAACCAATGAGTGGAACTTCCACGTTGATGGAGATCCACCCAAAGTTGATGAAGATTGACCAGCGGACTCAGTGTCACTTCTGTTTATATTTATCCGCTACTCCCACACTGCTATAGTTCTAACCGCGAGTACCAATATAGCCGACTTCACTCTTGACATACCGGTATTTAATAATAATAATAGCAATGAATAGTCCCCTTCTAAGTCCACGTCAGTGATGGTGGTCATGAACGCATTCCATATCTCCCCTATATACAGCACACAACACATACACAACATATACACATCATATACACAACTTATACACAACAGATACACAGAGGACACGTAGTAGGCACACAAGCATTCTACAACATACACTATACACACGTATAGCAAATTCCAGATACATAACAATTCCAATTATATAATGGACACATACAGGACATGTAACATGTAAACTAACTATTTAAACCTTGTTTTTAAGCAGCTAAGACCCGCTGATTCCATATCTCCCCTATATACAGCACACAACACATACACAACATATACACATCATATACACAACTTATACACAACAGATACACAGAGGACACGTAGTAGGCACACAAGCATTCTACAACATACACTATACACACGTATAGCAAATTCCAGATACATAACAATTCCAATTATATAATGGACACATACAGGACATGTAACATGTAAACTAACTATTTAAACCTTGTTTTTAAGCAGCTAAGACCCGCTGAGTTATACACCTCTTTTTCAGAAGCGAAGTGGACAGCATCCAAACACTCTAAACGCGAAACAGAACCACGTGACCACGAGAACGCCGCAAACTCCAAATACCCAGCGGCAGCAGCAGGCATCAGGGTCGGGATCGAACCCACGACGTCCTGCATACCAGGCGAGGTAGTTAACATCTCCTGGCCACCCTGATGATTATGAGAGAGGGAAACACGCAAACTCCGAATACACAGTAGCAGGCATCAGGATCGGGATCGAACCCACGCCCTCCTGCATACCAGGCGAGGTAGTTAACACTCCATTACATAATATAACCTTATCAAACAGCGCACGGAAACAGATGCATAACAAATAGACACATATATATTCGTTATTGTACAACTAATACATGAAGTACACTAGACACACATGGCAAATACACAACAGACGCGTTGCAAGTACCAAACGGAACAAAAGATACATACAAAATAGACGCAATCCAAACAGCTGGTATGTAACGGATACACAAAGGACACAAATCGCTGCGTAACAGATCGTAGATACACAACGTCTACGTGGCATGTGCATGACGAGAAGCGGGCACGCCAAATAGAAGTGAACGAGCAGATGCATGATAGGCACGTCGCCATCATCATCATCAACAACAGCCTGCTCTATCCACTGTTGGATGATCCCCCTCCCCCTCTCTCTACCCCACCACCATTGTTGTGGCCGTCTCTCAAACTCGTGGACCGGCGCGCGTTGAGACGATCTCAACGCTCCGTCTCCGCGGGGCACGTCTTGTTGGGCGCGTTCACTCCTTTGACCGCCACTCCGTTGTTAGTCTCGGCCGCTTGCCCACATCACCATCATCATTACTCACGCCGCCGTCACCACCACCACCATCATCATCACCACCACCATCATCACCACCACCAGCAGCATCATCATCACCACCATCATCATCACTACCACCATCACCACCATCATCACTACCACCATCACCACTACCATAATCACCACCTTCATCATCATCACCATCATCAATAATGCCGCCGTCACCACCACCAGCATCATCATCACCACCATCATCATCACTAGCACCATCACCACTTCCATAATCACCACCATCATCACTAATGCCGCCGTCACCGCCACCATCATCATCACCACCACCACCAGCATCATCATCACCACCATCATCATCACTAGCACCAACACCACTGCCATAATCACCACCATCATCACCACCACCATCATTATCCATTCGGGCGACGTGCTCTGCACCGGCTCGCTACACTTTCTCTATCGATTGATCTCGCATACTCGCGCGCGTGTTCTCTCTCTCATCCACGCGCTCCTCTTTCTACCCCTCTCTCTGTGTTCTTTATAATCCACGTGTAAGTAGCGACTAATACTGGACATTATAGCTTCACAGCTCATCGGATTCCTCCAGGATAAAAACAAAATATTCTGAATATAGTAGGATTGTAGCTACTGAGTACAGTACCAAACATAATACAGCAAACATGTACCGCTCGGGCAAAATTCATACCAAATACACGACAGATCCACGAGAGATACGAAGTACATAAGAGACAAATACACTCGATAAGGAACATAATATGCACAAGCCACCTTCTAGACACATATATAAGATATACAATGAAGGTAAATACTGTACTGCAATCAATATATTCGATGCATAAATTCGACGCAACCGAATACCACGCTAATATTTGACAAAACAACAGATATACATATCACAATACATACGACATGTGAATTAACAGGCACGCAATACTTTATATATACATGGAATACATAGCAAATTCATAATATATCATCGACAATAAGATAAGCGTACACAATATACGCAAATAGATCAGCCAACAACTTACACAGAACGAAAACAAAGCAGAAACGCAGCAGATCAATATAAAATAGAAGCATTAGACACACTGGGTATTATACATAACACACACAGAAACTGCTGCATAAACCATTCCAAAACCAGACCCATGATCGTTACGTAACGTATCGATTATTTACACCAAAACATGATTTACAACAGGCAATTCCAGAAGCATAATCGACGTACAGCAGATCGATAATACACATGATATACTAAGCAGACACAGACCCGATACATGCACGGCATGAGAAGTCGAAGGCACACCAGAGGCAGTACATGGCGATAGCAGACAGCCGCACACAGATACGGATGGATAATCCCGACACAGACCAGACAGACAACAGATACATGTACACAATGAACACACCTAAAGACATAACGTACACATCGAAGGCACGTAACATGCATCCGAGTTCTGTAATGAGACCAACAGACACACAACATAAACACAATAGACAATAGCGAGACACGTATCAGACACATACTTACATAACAGAGACATAACAACACACACAAAACGGACACACACATATATAACAAGACACATCAAATACTTAATAGACACACAGCAGACGTGTGCCAGACATTTACGAGATTTATGATGGATTGATCACAGACACATACATAACAGAAACATGATTCACACACCGCAAGCGCATATCAAGCACAAATCAGATACACATCATGTATATCATCATAATACCAAACACATAACAGTACAGAATACACACAACAAGCATATAGTCATATAGACACGTGATATAACGAATGTGCAATAGTTACATATACACAAAGGAGACATGCACATACATACTATACATGCCTACATCATATATATGTCAATGTACACAATAGACACCACACTCATAATATATAAACAACAGACACACGAGGCACATAACACACACAACAGACATGCAGCAGAAACGACACGCAACACAGACGACATCATCCACACGCCAGTGAGACACACAACACGCACACACCATGGCAACACGTTCCAGACACACAACAGATGCGTAATAGACTTACATCACAGACACACGATCTACATAAGGGACACACAACACTCCACCACGTTCCGTCGCCCATCATCACCACCACGACCACTACCACCACCACCACCGCACGGGCCGCTTGACGTACTCGCTTGTAGCCGTGCCCGGCTCTCCTCTCCGGGGTCCGGGCCCGCCAGGTCCCCCTTGTGCTCGGGGTAGGGGTCCCCGTGAGACCCCAGCACGGGGTCCGGGGTCTCGGCGACGACCCCACGGAAGAGCAGCGACTCCGCGTCGAAGCGGCCCACGCTCATTCCGTCAGAGCCGACCTGCAGGAGTCCCGGCGCGGGTCCGCATCCCCCCGGCCGGCACGCCAGCCCGTAGGGAGCCAGGGAACCCTGCGGGGACCCCATCCCGACCCCGGGGTAGAGGCCGCCGCCGCCGCCACCGCCGCCGCCCGTGAGAGACTCGAGCCACGACGACCCGGGGGGGTCCTGACCTCCTCCCGGGGGTCCGTAGAGCCCCGGCTGAGTCCAGGGGGGGCCCCCCTTGTGTTGCTGGAAGCCACACGCCGCGTGAGGAGGAGGAGGCGGTTCAAAGTCTGGCAGCTGGAAGGCGGCGATGCGGCGGTTCTCGCTGGACTGGAGGAGCGCCGGGAGGGAGATGCTGTCCAAGGGGTCCCCGCGGGGTGCAGCGTCCGCGTAGAAGCGAGCGTGGAGGGGGGGGCCGACCCCCTTTAGGGGTCCGGACATGGTCGCGGGACTCCTGTGACACCGCCGTCACGAGTAAGTGGGGGGGGGGGGGTCTGGGTGGGGGGCAAGGGGGATGTGGCCGTGGGGGGGGGGGCGGTGGGGGCTCAGGTCGGACCCACTAATCCGAGAGGAGCGTGGTGGAGTGTTTTTGGAGCGAGCCCCCCTCCCCTCTGATGGCGATGACGATGGCCGCTCTTTGCTCACGAGCACTCGCTCCCAATTGTGCTCGCACGCCCTACTCGTCACGAGCCAGGGGCTCGCGTTGTATAACCGCAGAGACAGAAACACTTCTTCCCCGATGCACAAACGCTGCCCGAACCGAGCGCTCCGGCAACGGCGGCAGCACGCGCCTCCTCCACACTTCACCGGCGGCACGGACGCCACTCGCTGGCTGCACGCGCGCGCGACTCTGAACCCAACGACTCCGCCCAGGGCTCCTCGCGCCTGCCCAACTAAGAAACGAACGCTCCCAGCCCCTCGTTTACACCCCCGTGCAGGGGTGGGTGGAGTGGGGGGGTTACAGGGGGGGTGGGGGTTACCGGGATGTGGTTATTTATTTATTTACTCCATGCTTAATTTCAGTCGGGAAGTCGTTTGACACCCAGCGCGTAACCCATCTCCTGCCAGGCCTTCTCTCGCAATTACAAATTGTTTATTTGTTTTGGTATGCATGTTAAACGCGTGAATTGAATTGTAGGACTATGGGGGTTATAAAGGTGTTCGGGTTATTATGCATAGGTGCACTTTGTACTCTCGTGGTAGTGCCTTACGCCGGCAAAAATCCATACTCCAAGCCAGGCCAGCCTCGGCAGCGTTCCGGAAAATATCGAGCGGGGAATGAAGCTCCGATCATGTTTGTTTTAGTCCTTGTGTACACATCACTAACTTACCTGGCTACGTTCTCACTCGGTTAGAAACCTGCCCGTGTATTATACACACACACATATATAGACACACACGCGCACACGTTGAATCTGAACTCATTCGCCTGCTCTGTTTTGTTTGGCTTGCATCCCACTGGGATTATCGGACACAGCGTTGAAATGCGGTGGGTTTTTTTCTGGAAGACTTTTGCTGTTTTTTTCCAGGATTTTTTTTCTGTTGCGTGTAGTCACTTTAAGATGTGTCTTGTTTTTGTTTTGTTGCGGATGCACCCGAGTCAAGAGCCGCATGGCTCACAGGGTTATACCTAATAAATACAACTGAAATAAATTAACTCTGCTGTGTTCATGCGTCTCTAACGCTGCATGTAGATGTCTGCCTTGTGTACGAGGATCAATGTATACCATGTAAAATGTGTCAAACACTAACCCCACTCAACTCTGTCCGTGTGAGTCCCGTCTCCCGTTCACGCGTCTCGTTCCCGACCACAATGCGCCCATTATTTTTTATGGGACCGAGGGGCGGAGGCGGTGGAAGAGGGGGAGGAGGGTGGGGGGTTGGGGGATGGGGGGGGGAAATTGGTTGCCCCCCCTCCCCCGTCCCACTCTCCCACCCCCCACCCACCGAGGTCACGTGGCGCTCGTTAAGCGCGTCGCTAAATCAGCAGAGATGTCCCATATAAGGTCACCATTTGCATATATGCAAAGTAGTTGCGTCCCCAGCAAAGGCCGCGCTAAATTAATTCAACTGGAATTTGATCACCGACAGTGGCGATAAAACACGAGTGTGGGGGGCACACGCTGTGGGTGACTGTGTTTATCAATAGGGGGGGGGCATCAATAGGCGCTCGCTAACTGTACCCCTTTTGTTTCTCCAAAGGGCCACTAGGATTGCACGTGGTTTGATTTCGGTTCGGACCCACTCATCATCAACATTCTCGTCTGTCGTGGCCAATCCACTGCTGGATGATCTCCCCAATCCGACGGCCGCATCTTCACGAGCCTGCGATGTTCACACTCCAACCAGCCGTCGCACGCTGGAACCTTGCACCATCGCTACGCGGACTTCCTCACTCCACCGCCATGGCATCGTCTCTCCTCGCCAGCACGCCTCCTGCCCCAGGCCCGCCACGTTCCTCAGTCCGCCTCTCAACGCCACTGCGAAGCAACGCGCATCTCATCCAAGCGTCAGCTGCGCTCTTTGTTTCATTCCACTCGTCGATGGAATGAAGCGGCGAACGAGAGCAGGTTGGAGCGCTCTTGAAGGGCCCACGACGGCGACGATGATGATGATGATGATTTTGAAAAGTAACAAAGCGGTGTGACTGACAAACCAAAGACCAAGATTCTAGATTTGAAGCTTTCGTGACTGCAAGGGTCCATACTCTTTGGTTCTATTCGGTAAAGTCACGTAGGTAAAACGTCTTGTTTCATTTTTTACCTACGTGACTTTACCGAAAGAACCAAAGAAGATAGAACCAAAGAGTAAAGACCAAGATCCCCGTGCGGGCAAGCGCTCTGAGCGAGCACCACGCACGAACACGCGAGACCTCAGCGACCGCAAGAGACACCTCGTCAGCCCGTGACAGAAGTGACTGAGCTCGCTTTAATTATAAACACAGCGTTGCTATCAGGTCGAAAATATGTTTAACACGTCGTGGGCTTCCCGACCAATATTTTGTCACAAATCTTTTTTTTTTGTTAGATCGCGTCCGTGTTATTGCATTTACGCAATTTAATCCAAAAACAATCTTTACCATCGGAAATGTCCCTTCTCTCGTACCCAACAAAGTGCGGCTAAGCTGCGTGCACTAAAAATAATTTAGCTGGCCGATTCCATGTCACCGTGGGTCCCCGTGCGAGTCGCGGGGCAGATGAAATGAAGTCGCTGGTTGCTTCAGGCCCCCGTGGGCAGTCTCGAGTGGCCACCCCCTAGCCAGGGGCGACTCCCCCCCACCTCGACCCACACCACCCGTCCCCAAATCCTCCCCGCTCAGTCGTCCAATCCGCTCTGCTGTCCATGATGCGTGCAGGTGCGCGCGGGGTCGCCGCCTCCGCTGCAGCGCCGCTCCTCGCGTCCTCCTTCGCCGTGGGGACGGAGTCAACGCGGTCCGCTGAGACTCGCGACCTCGCCTCTTGGTTGTTGTTGTTGTGGTTGTTGTTGTTGTGGTTGTTGTTGTGGTTGTTGTTGTGGTTGTTGTTGTTGTGGTTGTTGTTGTGGTTGTTGTTGTTTTTTTAAGCGAGGTTCGACCCCGGGGTGACATCGACTTACAATCGCGAGTCATTTGAAGCCAAGGTGGGCATGGACGGAGGAGAAGAGCGAATCTTGGCATGAAATTGATAAATCGTCTCTCCACAACGCTCCACCAGCCTGATGATGACTACACCTTGCAGCGCCGCTCTCACCCTACCCGCCTGCTGTGTTGTTGCCGTAAGAACTGCCAGGTCCGTACGGTCACCCCCTCCCCTCGTTCCTCGCAACCCCCTCCCCACCCCCGCCCCCCGCCCCCAACATTCCCTCCCTCCCACCGCACGTCTTTGTGCAGCAGTGGTCCCAGTTGCATCCCCCAAACAGCCCCCACCCACTCCTCCAGCCCCTCCCCTCTCCTCCGCCCTCCCCTCTCTTTAACACGTGGAACGGTTTCGCGACCAATATCATTCATAGTCGAGGTTTTTTGGGTTAGATCGCGTAAATATATAAATGTGTCGTTAAAACCCGCCACCACCTGACACAGCCAACTAGTAAGGGTTGTCACGTCAACAGAACGTGCCTCCCCTCTCTCTCCCCATTCATGATCTGTAAGACTCTACCTGTCCCCCCCCCCCCTTTCGGTAAAGATGCCCACACCCCCTCCCCCTTCTCGCCACCTCCCTCTCTGTCTCCTCGTGCCTACGTGGAATCGCTCGCTCGACTTGTGGGGAGCGGTGGTGCAGCGCTTGGCGCGCTGCGCCACGAAGCTGGTGACCAGTGTGCCATTCCCGCTCACGGCCACCAACAACGGAGACGATTATATCCGGCCCCCTACCCGATCTGGCCCCCTACCCTAGGTCGACTCATTCTCAGATGAGTACCTGGTGCGGTGTCTTAAGCATCGCCACTTGGGGGACAAAAGCGGCCGTGCGGGCGTAGGTGCAGCCCAACCACCTCCTGGTGTGCCGTGTCGGCCTTGTATGTATTATGCCGAACGTCTTTCACAACCGTACGATGCCAACCGTGCTAATCAGAGGTGCATGGAAGGACTGTCAACAGCACTTGTCCCTACAGTCTGTTAAGGCTATACGGGGGATTTTTGTCTTTGTCCCCCCTACCACCACCCACATTCCGCCCCTTGTTCCGTGATGACCACCACACCTCCTCCAGCACCCCCCCTCCCCTTCCCAGCCCCCCAACCCCTCCCCTGCTTTATGGAGCCATCTCCACTCTGGCTGCTGTTTTAGGGCCCCCTAATCACGTGTTCAGCCAAGCGACGCTTCCTGGCTCCCTTTTGTTGACTCGGAGCGCGGGGAGGAGCTCGTGTTTAGCGGGTCATAAAACAACAACAACAAACAAATACACAAGTAAACAATAATAATTATTGTGCCTTCCACGTTCTTCTCAGTGCGGCTGATGTTGATGTATAGAGCAACAGCTGTCATTCGACATTGCGATGGCCGAGTCCCAGATGGCCGCGTCAGGAGTAGCGGAGTGGTGAATCGTCGCGACTGTGCCTGTCTAAATCTCTGTGTGAATCTATTAATTATGACCAAAAAATTTATTTTACCAGGTAAGGTACCCACTGAGCTACAGAGTTATTTTTCAGAAGCGACCTGGCTATTACAAATGATAGCTCAATGAAGTGGCTTATCATCATCATCACGTGGCAATGTCCAGCATGCAAATACTGTGAACGCGATGACGTTGATTCTAAATGTGAAGGGTAAAAAAACGCAGGACCCGGAGAAAAATCCACGCGACCACGGGGAGAGACACGCAAACTCCAAATATACAGCAGGCGTCAGGGTCAGGATCGAACCCACAACCTCCTGCATACCCGACCAGATGGTTAACATCTCCTAGCCATCATGGTGATGATGAGAGACACGCAGACTCAAAATATACAGCAGCAGGCGTCAGGGTCAGGATCGAACCCACAACCTTCTGCATACCCGACCAGATAGTTAACATCTCCTAGCCATCATGGTGATGATGAGAGACACGCAGACTCCAAATATACAGCAGGCGTCAGGGTCAGGATCGAATTCACAACCTCCTTCATACCAGGCGAGGTAGTTAACATCTCCTAGCCACCGTGGCGCTGAGTCTAAGTAAGTGTTTAACCCCCCACCCCCGCCCCCCGCGTGCTCCGGGTTCCTCCAACATATATGGACGCTGTTTTAATTGGCTGAAAATGATCAGAACTTATGTAGGGGATCGCAGAACTCGGACAATTGTTGGTGGTGTCGGTTCCTCACCGCCTGGCTGCAGCTACCGCCACCGCCTTTCCTCAACGATTGTGAGAGACGCCTTCCTTGAACGACGCCGACAATTCTTGATGTATACTCTTTGGTTTTTTCGGTAAAGTCACGTAGGTAAAATAATATAAATGAAAACAACTAAATTAAATCACGACGTTTCGGAGGCAACACAAGCTTCCGTCTTCAGGTGGAAATCCGTCACAGCAAAATTGCCTCCGAAACGTCGTGATTTAATTTAGTTGTTTTCATTTATTTTATTTTACCTACGTGACTTTACCGAAAAAAACCAAAGAGTATGAATCCTTGCAGTCACGAAAGCTTTAAATCTAGAATTCTGAATATAAAACTAAACATTTTAAAGTTATTATTACCATTAACGTACCAAGCGTCTTGAGGCAGTGTTATTATTGATGAAAGTGGAGTGTCTGTTGTTGTTTGTTCACCGCTGCCAACGCATCAGCATCACCAAACTAGTTGTGTGATCAAGTAAGCGGCACTTATTGGGATAAGAGATCAAAGCGGACCAACCCCCCCCCCCCCCCGTTTTATTTGCAATATTTTGCTGCTCTAAATGTTCGTTGAGCTCTCATCTGTGGCCAGGTCGCTTCTGAAAAATAAGCTCAGTGGGGTTTATTTGGTAAGAAAAAAAAAGTTTAGTTTAATTTGGATATTTTTGTTTAAGTGATTTGTTTACCTTCTGTATACTTTGCACTTCTACCGTGTTTATTTGTATATTATGTATTGTTGTTACGTTCTGACCCCGTGCCACCTACTGGACATCTGTTAAAAAGAGCTTAATAGCTCATCGGAATCCTCCTGGGTCAGCAGACATATCGGCGGTTTTGCCATCGGCAAAGAGACAACTTAACACATCGTAGTAGACTTTCGCGAGAAATATTATCCGTAATAAAGCGGTTTTAGTTTTTGGGTTAGATCGCGTAAAAATAAATGATACATATACATGTTGTGGGTTTACCCTCTAACGCACCGGTGTGCAGCCCTTACTAATTGGCTGCGTCGGGTGGTGGCGGGTTTAACAACACATTTATACATTTACGTGATCTAACCCCAAAGCAAATCGTTTATTAAAGAGACAATGGGGTTAGTGCCGCACAACATTGGCCTTCCTCAACGTGACCCTCAGTATCCACAAAGTCATTATCCATCATTATCATCGTCAACCATAATCTCTCCACTGCTGGACGAGAGCCCCCCTCCACAGCTGTCGCCATCCCTCGCGGCCCTGCCGTGCCATGCCAGGCCGCGATCAATTTCCCTCCTGCACACGGAGCTGATTTCACCGCTCCATCTCCGCCCGTGAACGTCCCCCGGCTCAGCTGAGTTCCACTTCCGTTGCCCGCCACTCCGTCGTGAATCTCGAGCGGTGTCGCACAAATTTGTGTTGGGCCGGCGGACCGCCCCAGCCAGCGCCTACAGCCCTGACAAAACGCATTCACTTCTCTCTCTAAATACCACCAATAGCAAAGTATTCATATTACCGGAACATCATTCTTATATATTCTTGGTTCTTTCGGTAAAGTCACGTAGAAGGGAAACAATAAAATAATAAAAATCTAAAACATTAAAATCCCAACGACGTTTCGACTGCAACACAAGCAATCATCATCAGGTGTGAAACCCACAGCAAGAACAATTTGGAAAATTTTAATGTTTTATATTTTTATTATTTTATTGTTTCCTTTCTACGTGACTTTACCGAAAGAACCAAGAATATGAATCTCTGCAGTCACGGAAGCTTTAAATCAAAATCATTGTTATATTTACACAGCCATAAGTTGTTTTTTTTACGGGTGACATTTAGAACTTACGATTCGGGTAGTTGAATCAAAGTAGTTTACCTAACTTAAACATTTATAAAATAAAATATAGTAAGTTAAATATTAATTCATGCCCGACACAAAAAAGGCACTGGCATTGTCATTAATGTCCGGATCAAGCCGCATTTGCATCACAGCCACCGCGGGCAACGTGGAGGAGCGTCGCGGAGTCCCTGGTGGTGGCGGGGATCGTCCTCCCGAGAACCGCTGCCCGAGACCACCGCCGGTCATCATCCCTTGGATTGGCGACGTTTTACCGACTTCACCTCGCGACCGCGACACGCAAGACACCCGCGGCTTATGGAAGTTGAGGGATGGCCCCGTGGGTCGAGGCTAACCGCAGAGTGGCAGTCAAACGATCGGAAATGCACCCCGGGAGGACGACCCAGTCTCTCGTTCACCCCGCAGGCGACGTGATCGTCACCGTTCGATATCGTTTGTTTCGGCCGACTCATGTCTATTGTTTCCCTTCGTTCTGATCATTACCCTGAAGCGAATGGAATTAAACAAAGCGGCGTCGTTTCGGGCAATAGTTTGTCTCCATAAGTGCCATCGATGGCCCCTCATCAGGGTCATTGCCCGTAAAGTCGCCTATTATGTATTTTTCTAACTTTTTAAAACGCAGTGATACTTGTTAGGTTTTTGTTATTATCCTAAAGGATGTAAATCGATAATAATAGGTACTCACACGCGCAGTACCATGCGCGTAACATCAAGCGGAAGAATCGATTAATCAATGAACCGGCATAACCGCCGCATATAGGAAGAATATATGGAAAATAAAATATATACGTACATAGTTACATACACATATACCATTTTCGTAATTATTGTGATGCCCATTTACCCCAGGAAAGCCCTCGCTGAGTCTCAAGTCTCGTTTTCAGGAGGGTCTGGCCGAGTTTTTGCAGTAGAAGGCGATGTTGCTGCTGCTGTGTGATCCCAATTGAGTAATGTGCGCTGTCATATTTTTTAAGCATTCGGATATTTGACCAATACCATTTACACATTGTACGTTTAAAAAAATAAAACATAAAATGCCTATGCAGACGTTGGTAAGCGGACTAATGTTTGTGATATACCTGAAATAAATATAAATTATACATGCAAAACAGCTCCCATCCAGACAACCATTGGAAACAACAGCCTTCTCTTGCAGCGTCACGTGACCATCGCCCAGGTGAGGTTGCCGTGTTACACAGGCGAGGCGAGTCACGTGGCACACGTTTGAGACCACGTGACACATCGGTGAGACAGGTCGCGTGGCACACGTGTGAACACGTCACGCACAGGTGTGACGACATGCCAGATGAGACCAAGTGACACAGGTGAGAGACCACGTGGCACACAGGTGAGAGACCACGTGGCACACAGGTGAGCGACCACGTGGCACACAACGTCAAGGTAGTTGAATGGTGGGCTTGGCTGCTTGACCCCCGTTTCATGGGGACCCGATTCCCTGGGAACTCGATTTGACCCCGGAAGCGGACCCCACTCGTCGCACGGCAATCTTCTTCTCCTTGACGCGCCGGTTCTGGAACCAGATGGTGACCTGTTGGAATATCATCGATTAAAATGTGATCGTTAATTTGAATCGCATTATCATGATGACCACACGTCAAACAAGGTGTCATCGTGGCCAAATCCCTTGATGCTACCACTTCTCGCCTACACTGTCGACCCTTGGCCAGATGGTCCCACACACAGCGACCTCGCTCTTTCCCCGTGGTGGTCAGAGTATGTGGAGACCACTCCAATGCCTCTCTCCCATCCAGCACACACGTTTCCTCCATCACAACCTCCTCCACCTCCTAATTGCATCTGCAACGATACCCTGAAAAAAAAGCAAACACTGTCCCAGATAACTTCAACATAACTCTATTTCACACGGGAATAATCTGCGGACCCTGGAGCACCAACGGGACACTCGCCCCTGGCAGCGTAGCCGCACACGAATCGCCTGCGGGGCGCTGCCGCAGATTTCCAAATGCGTCACTGCACAGCTGGCTGCAGCGCTAACCCACCCGACCGCGTGACCACCCCACGCGTGCCTCTAGAAGTTCGGGTTGTTCCGAAAATTCCGGGCCTAAATATCATAACCCGCATTGTGGATGATCACGTTTCTTTTTGTGGTTGTTTCTGATTGAACCAATGAAATGTGTCGTTACCTGAAGACCACTCTGTTATGACGTCACGCGCTACGACTGTTCTCTGACAAAAGCGGCGGCACGTTTTGTGAGCACGGAAACGCGTCGAGTTACCGCACAACGAGAATGGTCCAAAAATATCCCTTAAAAAATTCGATGTTTTAAAATCCTTAACTCATCCCGACTCTCGACCATATCAATATTGTTGGTATATGGAAACGGAGTTTAGCTACTCCTGCTATAGACCGTCGCCCCCTAAAGACTATCGCCCCTACAGAGTATTTGACTGTCGCCCCCGTGGACTATAAACCATCGCCACTACAGGCTGTCCGTCGCCCCTGAAGACCGTGGGCCGCCCTGGAGCCACTCCGCACCTGCCTCTCGTTGAGCTGGGTACTGGCCGCCACGCCGCGCCGCCTCTCGCGGCTCACGAAGCGACTCGCCCCGAACTCCGCCTCGAGCTCCCGCAGCTGCGCCTTGCTGTAGGGGACCCGCCTCTTGCGGGAACGCCGGGGCACGGGGTCCGCGGGGTACGGGAGACCCCCTTCCTGCTGGACCCCCGCGAACACAGGGAACCCTTCCTCCCCTGCGAGGAACGTACGGGAAGGGGCGGGGGGGGGCGTTAGGAGGGGAACTACAAACTGAGCTATGTAGCTGGTTTGTTTTAATATAAGCGACCTGGCTGCCACAAATGAGACAGCTAAACGAAGTGGCTTATCACGTGGACATTTATAGCAGCCAAACAGCCTGAACGCGTGGAGGGAAAAACCGAAGGACCCGGAGACAAATCCAAGCGACCACGGGGAGAGAGAGACGCAGACTCCAAATATACAGCAGCAGCAGGCGTCAGGGTCGCGATCGAACCCACGACCTCCTGTACACCAGGCAAGGGAAGTAACATCTCCTAGCCACCGTGGCACATGGCTCGTGTACAGTATATGTAATAATAAGGCAATTGTCCGAAACGTCGTCTCATGCTGGCGGAAAGTCCTCCACGAGGCAGTTCACGAGAGCTACTCTCGAGGGCAATTTGGCCTACTCTTCCACGATGTCCAGACGTCTTGACGGGGGTGGGAGTACCTAGACTTTACCCCCACCAGATGCTCCCTGTCGATCGAGTCAGTGTGGAGGACCCAAGTATACTGCTGTGTGGACAGAGGCGGGAGGGGGGGGTTAACAAGTGCCCATTGTTTCCACTGCCGCGACGGGAGATCAAACCGGCCACCTCTGAATTCGCGCAATTCCACTGCTAGATGAGAGTCGTGTTGTTCGCAGTGGTCATGTTAACCATGCTTCACCACGTCTGGGGTGAGTGAAGATGAGAGGGGGCGTGGAATTCAGGACCGGTTCCGAGGCCAACTCTGCTCCGCTCACGTTCCACCTGTGGCCGGGAATCGAACTCAGGTCTTCCGGGAAACATAGCGCAGTGCGCTAACCACTGCGCCACCGCTCCACCCAACGGGGTTGGATCCTCCACACTACAAACGCGCTGGTCCGTGTGCGCTGGCGAAGGCGGGCACAGGAGTGCAGTACAACAATGGAGTTGGTTTTCACTGCCCTCTGCTGACCATCACCATGCACGATGCCACGTGGGCTCAAGAGGGGGGGGGGGTCATAATGGGCGTGTCCAAGACGCCGTTGAAACCTGGGTTCAAATCCCTTAGCTGGGTCTCTCTCAGGAGGTTTACAATGGCAGTGCCAGGTTCATAATGGACGTGTTTAAAGGTCGTTAACGACCGTGTCAGAGACGCAGACACGAAAACGGCTGAGAACCTTGGTCCAAGCCCTAGTTCTGGGTTCCTTCCTCTCTCTCTCATTAGTCGTGTTCATAATGGCCATGTTAGAGACACTGAGCCGGCATGGACGAGGACCTGGGTTCGAATCCGAGTTTCAGCCGCCCAAGCAGAGTGATTGAACCGAGTTATCAATCGTAGCGAGTTGGTCTGAGCGCAGTCACACATGACTGGCATTAGAGACCCACAGACTTACGTAGAAACCTAGACTTACATAGAGTTGGCATGAAACCGAATTCTAGAGTGTAACGAGTTGATGGACTCAGTAAATTTGGGTAAAAATTTCTGGTTATTCCAGCTCTGATGGGGAAACATTAGGGGTTGATTGACAGGCAATGAGCACTCTTCTGCGAAGGGCATTTAAGGGCGTGTCCCCACAATGGCAGATAAAGAGGTCCATTGAGATGGAACTTCAAAGGCAGTTCTGCGGTCTCATCTTCCGCGGCCCATTTATGGCCATGGGAGTTCCAAATGGACGCCGATAGCGCAATCTGAATACAATTTGGATTGAAAACACCAAGACCAATTTTACAACCGATATTATTCCTCGAGAGATTACTATTTGGGATTAATATTATTATTAGAAACTGAAATCCCGTTATCGTATTCTCAATTATAATTAAAACGCACTTTTTTCACCATGTGTGTTTAAAGCATCTTATAATCCGGTAGCTGTATATGCGTGGGTGCGCGTGATCAGATTTGTATAACTTTATTGACACGGGGCGCAAGTTTGAGGTGCGTCTTATAATCTGGAGGATACGATATTATTATTCCTATTGTTGTACAGTGTTTCTATGTTCCCAGTTGGGCCTCTCAAACCAAGTCCAAGCGCGCATCTATCTGCCTTTCTCTGCGCACTCCAATTAGCACGGTTGGCTACGTACGGCGCGAAAGAAGTTCAACACACACACATTACTCTTGAGGTTTTAAAAAAAGTGTCATCATTTTCCATTTCACTCGATCACTTTATTCGTCTAATTAATATACTGGGCCCTGCCGTGGAAACATGGAATGCCCACAACTGACTCAGATGCCAACGGGGTTGAGCACCATTCCATGCTCGTTTGCGCAGAGGCATTCCACCTTCCCATGGCAGAGCCCAGTCTACTTAGAAACACGCGCTTAGAGTATTTGGCTGCTAGACATTTTCACGCGATAAGCCCACTTTGTTGAGCTATCATTTGTGATAGCCAAGTCGCTTCTGAAAAAGAGCTTTCCATAGCTCAGTGGGCCTTAGCTGGTAAAATTTAAAGTTTAGTTTTAGTTCATTAATTTGGCATATCAGGGTAGACCGAGTGGAGTGGACAATGCTGATTAAAGTTTTCATTTTTATTTTATAAAGCCGAAACCTTTAAGTGACAATGGCCTGTGTCGGGTGGAGGAGGGGTGCACGACACACATTTCTACTTGGACGGCGATCCGACCCCCGATAGTAAATTACGAATCGCGTTGTCAGCATTGTCGCTTTTCGCTTTGACACGGGTCAGAAGGCGCGCGAACACTGGACTAGAGAGACTGGATCGACAGCTGAACGAGTGCGCAAAGAAACACGCACAGAGAGAGGGAGAGGGGTGCACGTGTTGGGGATTACAACACGGTAGACAGCAAGAGGAAGCATGAGAATATTATCGATATAAATATGAATAGTAACCACACCGTAAGGGTGAAGCAGATCCAAAGGATGTGTGACTATCAATATGAGGATCTACGTTAAAAAAAAAAGATCAGCAAAACCATAATATAAGCAGATAAGGTTGCTTTTCCTGAATATATTTCATGAAGATACTGTATTTGTTAACTGTTACAAGTTGATGTGTGTGTGTTATACACAGTATCTGTATCTCTGTGTGTATACATATATATGTGTGTGTGTAGTCGTTAGCGCGGTGCGCTACAAACCCGGCAACCCGAGTTCGATTCCCACTCACGACCAACAACAGTGACGATTATCTTAACGGGTCCTGGGCCCTCCCCTAGGTCGACTCAGCCTCAAATGAGTACCTTGTGCAGTGTGTAGTGAACATCGCCACTCGGAGACAAAAGGCAGCCTGGCGTGGTGCTGGCCACCCACCCCCTCGAGTGCTGTGCCGGCCTTCGTAGGTGCTCGCTATCAGCACTTGCCACAAGAGTCTGTCGAAGGCTATACGGGGGATCTTTGTTTGCCTGTGCGCGTGCCTGTATGCATGTCACTCGCTAATAGCTCTTGCCTTTTAAATTAAGACATTTGCCTAACATATCAACGCAGGTCACTCCTGAAAATGCGTCTCGAGAATCGGAAATGATGAACAGAATAACTGCTATGAAGTTAATTTATTTTTTTCTGATTGTTTTTTAAACCCCTGTAAAATAAGTACAGGTATAACTTGCTAGAAATATGCCTTAAGAAAATACTAATGGACACACAGCATCAACTCTCATTCCCAATGTCTCATTGCAAACCCGAATTCAGGTTAAGCTATGCTGGACCATCAAGCAAGCAGTCTGCTCGCATGTAAAGTGTTTTTACATTTTATTTTACGCGTAGGATTTCACTACCAATATTACGATTCGCAGTTGGTTTGTTTCGTACACGTGTAGAACTTATTTTTTGCACCGTGCGTAGCCAACCGTGCAAAATCGGAGGTGCGGGGCTAATCGGAGGTCGTGTAAAATAAAGGCGCGTCGTTAAAAAGCCTCCTCGACCCGACAGAGCCAATTCGTAAAAAAATTGGCCACGCGAATAAAACCGTGGTAAAAATAAACCTTCGGTTTCAGCACAATCGATGGCGCTCTGGGAGGCATCTCGCAACGTTTAAATGGGTAACGACGTTTCGCTGGAGATTACAGCCAGCATCGTCAGGTTGCTAACAGGAGCTCAGATCGCGAGTGAGTTTTTATTAATTAGCTGTGTCGGGTGGTGGAGGGTTTATTACACGACATTTTATTTTTTACTACCGCAACCTAATCCAAAATAAAACCAATTGTGAAAAATTACGTTTTTTTAAAAAGAGTTTACGTTTGATAATTTTTTTTTAGTTTACTGCGCTTTTAATAATGATTGTAATTTTTTTGTGTATATTATATATTTGGGAGTGGACTGGAAACGCACTTCGTAAACACTCCTCATGTCTACGGTATATTCATAGGCTTAACACGTGGACTTTCGCGAGAAATATACTAAATATATACACACGCAATACTGTACTGCAGTATACCAATTGTACAGTACAGAACTTTAATTAAAGTATTGGATGTGTTATCTACTGTAAAGCGATAACTATGTAGTGACGTGACATAAGTTCGCGGTTCTAATTCCAACGGCCGCCCTGATTAATACTGCGGTGGTAAGAACTGTAATACTAAACTAGAAACTATTTTCTATTTTACCAGGTAAGAAAGACCCATTTAGCTACAGATCTATTTTTCAGAAGCGACCTGGCTTGCCGTGTCAACATTTATAGCAGCCAAATACTCTAAGCGACCACGTGATGAGAGACACGCAAACTCCAATTACACAGGCGTCAGAATCTGGATCTAACCAACGACCTCCTGGTAGGATGGGGATGGTTTAGTTTTATGTGTATGAATCTTGACTTAAAGCTTTCGAGACAGCAGGAATTCATATTCGTTGGGTCTTTCGGTAAAGTCACGTTGATAGATTAAAAGAAAATAACAAAAAACTACGACGTTTCGACCGCAACATAAGCGGTCGTCATCAGGATAGGGGGGAAAAACGTCGTAGTTTTTTGTTCTTTTCTTTGAACCTATTTAGGTGACTTCATGTGGATGTTTTTGGTTGATGTTTACCTTTCTTGTAATTTGTTTGTTGTTGTTGTTGTAACGTTCTTATCCGCCGCAACTAGACATCTGTGAAAAGGAGCTTTACAGCTCATGGGATTACTCCAGTAGAAATATTCTGATTTTGTATACCGGGCGAGGGAGTTAACATCTCGCTACCGTTACAATATCGATACGGTAGTGCAGTATTATCAATGCAGTGGCACGTGTTTAAGCTGGCACGTGGAGTGTGCAAGGAGCTTGTGTCGCGGTGGCCGGGACACGAGGTGAGCGGCAGAGCGAGCGGCTCACAATCATCGCAAGGTTGCGAGTTCAAATACGCCACTCCGCCAAGGTCGATAAAATACTTAAATACATTGTGGGTGAGGAAACAGCAGCGGCTGTCAAACCGAGATACTCGCTCCCCGCCATAGGAATGCGGAATGTCCACGACTGGCCCTGCATGGAGTTGTGAACAGAAACGGAGCACACACACGCCTCGATGTGGCTCAATTTGAGCAGCAGACAGTCGCTGCGAGTGTTTATTTCGTTCTTGTGGGTGACCGGTGAGCGCACGTACAGGTTGTGTGTGTACCTGCGGTGATGGCGGCCTTCCACAGGTGGGACGGCTGAGCGCGCTCCCTGTACCCACCACACACCTGGGCCGGCCAGGTACCCGGCGCGTACACAGCCCAGGGCGGTAGCTGTCGGGCAGGAGTGGTGCCGATCTGCGGATGATGCTGCTGCTGCTGTTGTTGTTGTTGTTCGGACACAACATCCACATCAAACCCCATGTATCCGCGTGGTTGAACCGCCTGGACATCCGCACATCTGCTCAGTGCTCCGTCCTGCTGTTGATGCTGATGATTTTGATGACTTTGATGAGCGATATAGCAGGTGCACAGGTGACTCGCTATGCAGCGCCTTCCTGGCGAGCTCGGAGTAGGGGCCTCGGCGAACGGGGACGCCCAAGGGTTGCGACTGGGGTCAGGAAATCCCTGATCGTGCTCGCCGAGCCTCCTCGACTCGTCCCAGAGGACGCCACCAACACCACAGCCGCCACCTCCAACGCCACCGCCAGAGCCATGCAGGAACATCGTTTCCAGCGGACGGAGGAGCAACTCCCCCCGTGTAGACACGAGTGCTAATGCGCGTGTACAACTTATGTACACGCGTGCAAACCGTGGACAGCGCTTACGCAGAACCTGGGAGGGGGCGGCGGAGGGGGGGAAGCTATGCACGTGTGGACACAGCAGCCCCCGGTATACACGTGAGAACACCTGTGCACATTCGCGTACGCACGCCCGCGTACACCTGGGTCCCACAGGTATAAGTGCGGGGATGGAGGGAGGTGGAAGGGAGGGTGGGAAGTGGCGAACGTGAACCCTGGGCGACCCGATGTACACACGTGGACACAGAAGCCACACAGACACGCGCGTGTACACCTGTGCACGCGTCGTGCCGGTGGTCACGTGGTGCCGGGCGCGCGCGCGTGCGAGCGCGTGCGTGCCTATCGCCGCGCCGCTTCATATCGGCGCGAGCCGCCGACGCACCGCGTCCCCATTGGCTCCGCGCCGCCACGTGACGATGCGCCGGGAGGGGGGGGGGCAGGAGGGTGTGTGGGGGATACCCCCCCCCTCAAACTCAGCCCCCACCCCCTCCGGCCACTCCGATGATGAAATTCGTGGATTTGGGGAAGCCGCGGAGTTGGAGTTGAAGGGTTTGGATCTCGGACCGTGGTTCATCTTTGACAGCGAAAATCTCGCAGCCCGCACGTCTCCTTGGACGCGTCCGTCAGTCCCTCCAGCAAAGCAAACCTTTAATTGTTGCACACACTACAATATGTAATTCATAATAAAGGTTTTTGGGTTATATCGCGTAAGTATAAATGTGTCGTTTCGCTGGTAACTTAATCCAGCATCATCGGGATAAAATTACCGGCGAACGTCGCAGTCAAAATGATAGCGTTGTGGATTTACTCTCCAACACACCGGTGGCTGAAGTAGTAACTACTTGGCGTTTGTATTCTTGGTTCTTTCGGTAAAGTCACCACGTAGAAGGGAAACAATAAAATAATAAAAGTATAAAACAATAAAATTCTCACGACGTTTCGACTGCAACAACAAGCAATCATCAAAATTTGAAAAAGGTGGCCACTTTTATCAACATTTTCTTGCTGTGGGTTTCACACCTGATGATGATTGCTTGTGTTGCAGTCGAAACGTCGTGAGAATTTTGTTTTATATTTTTATAATTTTATTCTTTCCTTTCTACGTGACTTTACCGAAAGAACCAAGAATATGAATCCCTGCAGTTACGAAAGCTTTAAATCAAAAGACTTGGCGTTTGTTTACGTGACAAATCCCTTTCTAATTGGCTGTGTCGGGTGGTGGAGGGTTACGACACATCTATAGTTACGCGATCTAGCCCAAGCACCTTTATTGTGAATAATATTGGTCGCGAAAGCCTACCTATGTAATATTGCGCAGTGTTATACAACGTAATAACAACACGGGTCTTCAATTGTCTGGTAGATTCGCCCAAGGGGATGTGGCCGTGGCGGTGTAACGGGGCGAGCGCACCGCACTCTCCACCCAGCTTCTCACTTCTCTCCGTCGCCTCTCGTCTCACACAGCGGTTTACACACAAATACGGAGAGAAGCGGGCGCCACACGATGGCTACTCGATCCCCAGACCGGTCGCCCGTGGTGGGGTAAAGTGTGGGTACTCCCACCTCCTCTGAGACGCACCGGCCAGGGGGGAAGAGTAGGCCAAAACGCCCCATGGATGGCTGTCTTGCTGAAGCGCCTATCGGCCGACAGTAACGCGAGCAAGCAATTACAGGGCTGCGCCTTTAATCGGAATTGCCTTCCAGAATGGTCTACACAAGTTTGCGAGTCCGTGAGTCTGATTAAAAAAAATAATGGAAAATTATCAGTGGAACATAAATACAGCCACACACAAATGTACAGCGACAAAATGTATATGGAGACGTACAGACACACACAAATACGCTTAGATGTATGATAATGTGCCTACGTGTACACACAAATGTGTGTTTGTTTGTGTATATAAATGTGTCTGTGTGTAACACACGTACTGTGTGTGTACACGAAGACACATGAAGGGAACTATACCACAACTATCGCTCCGCAGACACACACATCTGTGCCTACGCGTACACACACACGTGTGTACCTGTTTACTCAGACGCGCGTGTCTATATGTACACACGCGCGTGTACGCGTTGCTATGTTTACAGACGCGTGTCTATAAGTACACACACACGGTCTATGTTTACACATAACGTATGTGTACACGTGTTTGCACACGTATTTGTTTACACTTTACATCTGTGTGTACACACACACACGAGCATCCCTTCCTTTGATCAGAACAAACCGCAGTGCGGTGCGTGTGACAGCGTCGACGTGGGGAGCGGTGGCGCAACGGTTAGCGCACTGCGCGACGAACCCGGCGACACGAGTTCGATTCCCGCTCAATAACAGTGGCGAATATCTGAACCGGTCCTGGGGTCTCCCATAGGTCGACTCCGCTTCAACTGAGTAGAATGGAAACCCGGTGCGGTGTATAAGCATCGCCATTGGGGAGACAAAGGCGGGCGGGCGCGGTTCTGGGTTACCCACCCGTAACAGCACTTGCCCCAACAGTCTGTTAAAGGCCACACACGGGGGGCACCTTTGTCTTTTGTTCGTGACCGTGACGTCAGCACGTGGCGATGTCTGCTCACGTCTGGGGGGCCCGGCACCGCGAGGCCCCCCGAGCGGCGCGGAGTCGGAAATCGTCGCCGTGCGTCGATTCGCAGCCGCTGGAGGCCGCAATTCGGGCACAGAGCCAGACAGGGGGGGGGGGGGGGGGGGGGGGGGCGTAAATCAGCGGGCGGCGAGAGACCTCACCTGCCCCAGGTGAGCAGCGCTCAGCCGACACCGCCCCCATCTGCTTGCCGAGCCGCTGCCTCGACCCCAACGCGACCTCACCGTGTGCCTCATTCTCGCCATCTCTCGCCGCGTCTCTCTCTCGCGAGCTCTCCCCAGCAGGGCTTCATCCAGCAGCGGATTGATCGTCTTTGAGTGTCACATTGTGCCAGTCGACAGCCCCATTGGCACTGCGGATGACACACACCGTGCGTATGTTGAACTTCTTTCGCGCCGTACAACGGCCCACCATGCTAGTCGGCAGGTGCCCGGTTCACCGAGTGTGACGTTAAAGATCCCGTGACATCGTTGCGTGCCGAAGTCAGGGTACACATTTACTGGCAGACGAACGCCACAAATGCGACTCACCCTGGTCTCTCGAGTTCCTAGCTGGTTACACAAAATCAACTTGAAACGTGAACAGTTGTAGTTTTCATATTGATATATTACTCCCCCCCCCGCCCCTGCCATAGGAATGTGGAATTTCCACCGCCGAAGGTAATGACCGCCGCCCCACCCAAACTCGTTTGATCAGAAAGACGATTGACATTTTTATAGCAGAAAGCACTCAAGAGCCGTCTTGTTCCCCCTTGTAAACCGAGAGGCTATGATCAGCCGCCAATGGGTCACTCATTCATGGTTCGACTCATTCATGGACCCATTAAAGCGTTCATTAAATTGGTATTACATAACCCAATAGCATATTATCATCCTTATTCAATCATCAATTCGATGGCTCATTAATTCATTTTTAAATAATGTCAAACAATATAAGTGGATTATTAATTATGTAATTAATTTGGCCAGTACTGTATCAATTCGGTTATTGGATCATTCACTCGGTCACTAAATGAGCAATAAACAGTCTGGCATTTAATTCATTCATTAATCGATATATTATTAGAACAATAATTTCTAATCTTACGCATTAATTCGCGTATCCAGTCAATGACCGCCGGCACTACGGGGGGCGGGTGGTGGCGAACCCCGTGGGCAGCCCCCTCGAGGGCCATGGGGCCCGGGGTTGAACCTGGGTGGGTCGAGTTGTGAAGGGAGCGAGGAGGCGGCGCCGGCGGGGCCGAGAGACCGGACGGCGGTTCCGACGAGGAAGTTCCTCCGCGTGGGCAGTCTCCCTACGGGTGAGTGAGTAGGCGAGTGATTGAGCGAGTAAGTGGGTGAGTGGACGAGTGAGATGAGTGGTTGTGGAGAGCGGTGGCGCATCGGTTAGCGCGCCACGCTACGCACCCGGCGACTCGAGTTCAATTCCCGCTCACGGCCAACACCATTGATCAATTATCTGACGGTCCTGGGCCTCCCGTAGGGCGACTCGGCCTCAAACGAGTACCTGGTGCGATGCGGGTGCGTAAACATCGCCACTGGGGAGACAAAGGCGATCGGGCGTGGTGCTGGATACCCACCGCCTCGTGTGCCGTTCTCGCTAGCAGCACTTGCCCCCAAATAGTCCATCAAAGCTACACGAGGGAATCGAGGTCCTGTGCGAGTAAACGAGTTAATAAACCCAGTGAGCGAGTCGGTGAGTGAAATTTTAAGAAAAGTGATCGATTGAATGACAGTGATTGGCTGAGAAGAACGAGTCCGTGAGCAGGCAAGGGGCTTGGTGCGTTACAGATTGAGCGATTGAGTCCATGGACACGAGAGAGCGAATCAATGAACGGATGAATAGATTAGCGGCGGCATCAAAGGCGGGGGGGGGGGGCTTCTATAGATCCGTGGCGCCGAGCAGCCATCGCCTGGTCACGCGCCGTTAATTGCCTTGTCAATTGCCAGGTGTAATGGTCACGTGTCATTCCCAGGGGTAATTGGGTCGTGGGTGTGCGACTCTCACGGCTCTCACGCCAGAGGTCTCACGGTGGGGGAGGTGGGGGAAAGCGAATATGGGAAAATAACCACGGACAGAAATCCTCGGAAACCTCCTCCCCCCTCGCTCCCCTCATGGCACAGGCGAGGCGCGCGGTCCTTTCGCGGATTTCGTCGACATCGTCTCGCGCCTCTGGGAGATGATTCAATGGGGGAACTCCCCAAGCTGCTTCCCTCACTCTTCGTCACCCCCCCGCCCCTCTTCCTCCTCATCATCTCGAGTCCTCTGCGGCTCCCCCGTGTCCTCTCCGGGCGATGCAACCGCCCACGGAGGTAGGCGCCACTGCGCCACGTCCCTTAGTCTGCGCAAGTCGATGGCTCTCTCTGCGGTTTATGAGTCAATGTGTAGCATTTGTGGGTGTCCAGGCGAAGGCCATCGGCTAGTTAAACCCGATTAAACTCGGTTTCAACCCGGTTTAACATCGCGGAGCGCCTGAAACCAAGATTCATCTGCAACGATGCGCGATGGTTATGATGATGGTGATGTTCAACGTTAAACGAGGGTTATGAGGATTAATGATGGTTATAATTATGATGGTAAACGTTAAGTGATTATTTAGGAGCGATGAGGGTTTAGGGAGAGAGGTGAGTAGAGGAAGATACAGAAGGAAAGGTGGGGAGGGGGTGAAGGACATGAAAGGAGGATGGAAAGAACGAGGAGGGGAAAGAGATGCGAGTGAGGAGCTGTAGGGAGAGACTATGCAGACAGAGAGAGAGAGATGTTACAAAGATGACACGATGGGGAGGATGAAGGTGAGAGAGAAGCGAGCAGGCGAGCCGAGACTGGAGCGAGAGACACCGAGGGAGGGGATGAGAGAGTGGGTGGGTGGTTGGGAGAGCTGGGCGGGGGGAACCGCGGAGCTGATTTACGAGAGTCCCCATGTTCCCGTCCACAGATCTGTCCCTTTTGTTTTTGTTTCCAAACGCAATTCCACCCCCCCGCCCCCCGCGTCGCTTCTCCTCCAATCGCTTCATCTTTACGAGCCTCATTGTCTCATCGCGCCGTCTCTTCCCACCGCTCCGAGGGCCTCGCTCTCCTCTCGCCTCCCCGTTTCCTTTTATTTTAAACAAATATCGGGGGCGGGGAGCGGTGGCGCAGTGGTTGGCGCACTCCTCTGCACTGGGAACTCTCCACTGGGAACTCTGCGACCGGGAGGTTCGATTTCCGGATAGCGAGTGAGGTGGCCGCGGCTTAGAAACGCCGTCATCCAGCAGTGGATTTGCCAAGGATGATGAGTGTTTCGATTATAGCATCGTTCAGGCACAGGCTGCAAGTAACACGACAAACATCGTAGGCACTGGTCATGCAGTTTGGATATAAATACGTTAATTCAAGCTCCCCAACCAAGTACTCAATTTATATTTTTTGGTTCTTTCGGTAAAGTCACGTAGAAGGGAAACAGTAAAATAATAAAAATATAAAACAATAAAATTATCACGACGTTTCGACTGCAACACCAGGGGGTGATGATGACTGTGTTGCAGTCGAAACGTCGTGAGAATTGTATTGTTTCCCTTCTACGTGACTTTACCGAAAGAACCAAGAATATGAATCCCTGCAGTCACGAACGCTTTAAATCAAAAAGTACTTAATTTGCTAATTATATAGCAGGAGTAATATTATTCTGCAGGCCTGTTTATCCACTGCTAGATGAAGGCCATCCCGTATCGGTCACGGAGGTCGTTTGACCATACTTCACCAATGCGGGTTGGTGGGGAGGGAGACCAGTACCGGCTCCGACATCACGTGCGCCACTCTCGTTGACCAGGGCCGGGGATCGAACTTGGGAAGCTGGACTCGTAGCGCAGAACGCGAATCGCTGTGCAAACGTTTCACACCCTCCGCCAATAGGGAAAACACGGTCATTTGAATGCGTGTATAAAAGTCGGCGCCGTTTCGCACAATGGCCCTTCACAGAATACGGTTCACGTTCTATGAAGCGCCTTTCCCCTGCCACGGTCACCGCGTTATTGACGATGACGTTGAGTATTTGTGCTGTTGCACTACCTGTCATCGGGACTAAGAGCAGCTGTAATGGATTCAAGGTTTAGTATCACTGCCAGCTCTAACCTAATAACCTGTACACACAAAGCACACGCAGGTTACACCCCCGACTCAATTATCATTGCCGAAAGGTGAGCCACCGTAGTGACCATTCATTGCGAGTCGTTACATCGACCTCTTGATCCAAACCGGGACAGAGCTTCGGAAAATATACAAATTATATTACCCCGAGGGGGGGGCAGTGGTTGACGGGAACCGAGATAAAAATTTTTATACATTAACCCCTGGCCGTCACTACAACTAGCGGAAGAATGTCAGACGATTTGCCCGATGAACTTTACGAGCCTTCTTACCAAGCAGTTCGTGACAAATCTGGTTTGGCCACCAAGCATCGGCGGCATCTCCCAGCCAGCCAACCGCCACAGCGCGCCACGAACGCGCCCCACCTCGTCCCGATCGCGGTAGCCAAGCAAGGAGACTGAATACACCTTTCATTTTACCAGGTAAAGCCCATGAGTCATACGAGCTCTTTTCCGAGGGGACATGCCCATACACAATAGCTCATCGCAGTTACCGATATCATCATCATCATCATCGTGGAAATGTATAGTAGCAGCCAAATAAGCGCACGAGTCTCAATGTGGTGCGGGGGGGTGGGGGCATCCGGAGAAAAATCCACGCGACTACGTGGAGAGAGAATACGTGGACTCAAAATATACAACAGGCATCGGCAGGGTCCGGGATCGAACCCACGGCCTTCCTGCATAAAGCATGCGATCATCCTCGCGTCAAAAAACAGTCTATAGCGGCGAGTGAGAAATGAAGGGCTGCGGTTAACGCAAGCGGGTGGAGGTTTTGTCGTACTGGAGTCGGGAAACGAGAATTCCTGCCCGACGCCTGGCACTGCCCTGCCTCGTCCCTACGAGGGGGGGGGGGGGGGGGGGAGATGGAGACAGCTGACCCCTCAAGGTTCGCCCCCCACGCCGCCCGCGTTCACGGCTATGCAACGGCGCTGAGAAATCTCACGACAAGTCTCGCCTCGTGTCTCCACTCGGAGACACGAAACGAGACCCGGCCCGAGGCGCCTGAACGTAGCATTCATCCGCAGGCAGTCGGGGGTGATATGCGAGAGCCACGTTGATCCGTACGCTACCCACACTTCGCAGTCCCAGTCGTTCTTTTAACAGGTCCCTGCAGGGTGGGCTGGTAGGAACATTGGAATTTTGCGCAATTTTATTTTTACACCCCAACAGCACGAGATTTCACTTCGTTAAAGTATTGAAAGGGGACGGACGGACGGACACATTCATCTATTGCAGGCTGGTACACTCAGTTTACAACTTCGTTCCTACCAGTATAACTCCTGGAAATATATATTCGGAGGCGCGTGGCTTGTATTTACTACCATTGCCACTACCAGACACACGCACCCTCTAATCACCAGCAGGCTGATCATGAAGGGCGAAGAAGAGCGCCTGGTGGTGATGACGTTATGGGCTGTCCCTGTTGATTTTGTTTTATTTGTATGTGTTTGGGTGATTGTTTTACCTTTATATCATGTTTTTTTTGTATTGTTTATTGTTGTAACGTTCTTATACGCCCCTACTGGACATCTGTGAAAAAATATCTTTATGGCTCATCGGATTTATCCAGGACAAATAAATATTCTGATTCTGATATTCTGATGATTCTGAGCGCGTGAGTGCACGTGCGTGGGTGTGATGAGTGAATTTACGTGAGTGTGAGTGAGTGCACCTGGTGGGTACGATGTGAATGTGTGTGAGTGCATGCGGTGGGGATGATGAATTCCCAAATTATTGGCTTGAACCATCCGCACCGCGCTAATTACTAACACTACTTAATTGGCATTGCGATCCGAGAGACAACGCGTACCCTTTACAACGTGACGCCGGTAGGGACGAATTAATTTCGCTTTTTCACGAGGATTTCCAAAATCGTTTCGTAAATAAATGTTACAAATACTAAATAAGTAAAACATTAACATAAGTATTGTATGAAATATAAGTATTACCTGTGCACTTAAAATGGGGTTCGACAATCGATTAGATAGATTAAAAATTAAAACGATTTGATAACATGTAATTAAAGATCAGGACAAATGTTACGTAATGTTTTTTTTATTCCATTTTGGGAGCGGTTAATCAACGCATGTGTATGTCTTTGTTCCGTGCTGGCTTCCATCGGTCCTCGCTAACAGCACTTGCCCTAAAAGTCTTACGGATACACGTGGAATCGTTGTCTTTGTATATATATTAAATGTATTGAAGCAGATTAATTCCCCATGTGTTTTTTTTAAATGAAACCAGATGCAGTGAATGAGACTTATGGGGTTGTGACGAAGACATCTGATTTCAATGGCACCAGAATATCTTGGCGTTAGTGCCTGGTGATTCAACGCCCTGGATGCAAGGGTTGGTGGATCACGCAGAGATCTGTGTGAAACTCCCAAACACGCCGAGGTGTTGCGATGTGGCCAGGAGATGGCAGTACTGCAGGTGGGTTCGTGAACCCGTTTTTGCGGATCTTTGAGCGTTTTCCCCTCATAGCCCGGGTGAGCTGCCTTGTCTGGTTTCCCACCCGAACGAAGAGCTGAAGCAACTCGTCCAAAAAGAGTCTTGAGGCACAGCAGTGCTCCTTTTCTGGGTAAATAAGGAGCATTTATTGAGTGGTGTACAGGGGCGGCCCCAGACTCGCTGCTGCCAGCAACTGGCGCCCGAGGCGAACCACGACACGGACGCCCCCACCCCCAAACCCCAAGGGCAGATCTCGGCTGAGTTTTATGGTAAACTGGGAAACATTTGGCTCCAATTTTCCGTTTAATGTTTTTTTAAGCGTAATTTGTTTTTGTTTTTTAAACAGAGGCATAATTATTCGGTTTGTCCGCCCGTCTTTCCAACGAATACATTCTCAGAAATGCTGAGAAATTAATGATAATTCATATTCCCTCTGTACGCGCACGGGAATTGAAATAATGAAAGCTTCGTTATTTCATCTTTTTTTATTTGTGTTTTGAGTTCGCCGATACGGACGGGCCGCCCCTGGTGGTGGATCGCGTCGCTCCCCTCGAGCCTTTGGGGCTTTTACCGATTCAGGGTGGCGATTTGATTCAAGACTCTCCTGTGGAAAATGTCGCTGCCTCTGGAGAGGCCGATTAGATGTGTTTTATGTAAACAAGCACCGGTTAATTGTACTCTCAGTCTAAACATGTCTGCCCGAACCGACTTACGTGACACAATGTATTATTTCACATTGATTTATGATCGTGCGATATTTTCGATTTCTCGTGCGACGTTGTTGCTTTTGGGCTGATTTCTATTTGCTGAATTGCTGTACTTCATTGTATCAGTTCTTTACTTTTGACATTTTAGTGACCCAGGTCACTCTTACAAATTAAACCTCGCCTGGTCTCACGAGTTCTCACCTCGGTGAGATTATTACACACCGCGATATTGACGCACGTATCGTGAGATTAAGGATATAAATTACATTAATCGATAAACCGTCACGGTCTCTATTACCTTCATTTTGTATATTAATACAATCGTCATCCAGCAGTGGATTGACCAAAGGCCGGTGACGCTTTCACTCGGACAGCGCCGCCACGTGGCTGCCACGTGGGTGGCACTGCCAAGAAACCCAAGAAATGCACTGCACGGGAGGGGGGCGGGGCGTAACAGGGAGACGCGTCACGTGTTCGACATCTGTAGCCAATGAGCGCGGGAGACCCTGCCGAGTTGGCGTTTGTCGCTGATTGGAGGAAGGACGTGTGCACGTGGGCGCGCGTCTCGACCAACGAGAGCGCCGTTTGGAAGTCCTCGCGTCACCGTCTTCTGCTTGCCGCCGGTAATGGCCGCGCCCACGGGGGACACGGGAACCAAGGGGACCTAGGGATCAAGGGGGCCTAGGGATCAAGGGGACCCATAGGGATCTAGGGCTCAAGGGGACCCCTAGGGACCTAGGGCTCAAGGGGACCTAGGGCTCAAGGGGACCATGGGGACCTAGGGCTCAAGTGGACCTAGCGATCAAGGGGACCTAGGGATCAAGGGGACCTAGGGCTCAATGGGACCTAGGGACCAAGGGGACCATGCGGACCTACGGATCAAGGGGACCTAGAGCTCAAGGGGACCTAGAGCTCAAGGGGACCTAGGGGACCTTGGTTTCAAGGAAAACCAAAGGGATTCAGGGATCAAGGTGACCCAGAGATTAAGGGGATTAATCGGACTTGGGGACCAAGGGGACTGGGATCAAGGGGACCAGGGGTTCAAGGGGACGCGGGAACCAAGCGGATCAATCGGATTTGGAGACCAAGGGGAACAACATATGGGAAATAGGGTCTAAGAGGACGCAGTCTTACTACGAAGCGGAGTCGGCAACCAAGGGGACCCAGACTTAGGAGACGGAGCTGACTAAGGGGACCTCGAGGAACCAGGGAGCAAGGGGATCAGTGTCTGGGGCGGGGGAGATGATCAAGCAGATCAAGTGGCTGGAGGGACTTTGTTATTGTAATTGACCCCAGGTTTGTTGCGCAAACCCGGGTCCCCGTTCTCGGTGGACAGAGCAACTATGGGGACCAAGGTAGCCCAGGAGGCCCTGGCGCCAAGGGAACCTTGGGACTCAAGGGGGCCCGGCGCTCGAACGAGAATAGGCGCGAAGACCAAACAGGGGAACTAGGGATCAAGGTGACCCAGGTGCCAAGGAGAACCGAGCCGATGCGATACAGGGATCTAGAGGACTCGTCCTTCATGAACCACAGTCTCGAGGGGCCCCATCAAGCACCGCTCAGCAGCCAGGCTGCTGAACTAGCGAAACGCGGTGGACCAAGACCACGACCCCCTGCTGCTGCTGCTGCCGCTTGAGTCCCCTGGATGGGGCCTGAGGCTCTGGACCCCCGTGACCAATTGACCTCTACCCCCTTTCCGTGTTCCCTCAGGTCTCAAGATCTCCTCTGTTCGCCATGATCCCCTGCGCCAAGATCATGACTGCGTCTGCCCTGGTGAGGAGTGGTGGAGTGGAGGGAATTGGTGTTTGTGTGTGGATCAGTATTTTGCACTCTTCGTTTATGCCGATTAATACTTGTGTTGTGTGTGGTTCTCAATGCTCATAATCATGATTACGATTTGGTACTTTCCGTGGATTGTATAGCGCATGGTTTAGTAGATTGTGGGTAGTACTTGTTATTGGGATCCGTAGGAACTAATACTCATGCATTAAACTCGATAATTGTACACGGTACTTGTTCTTGTTTCTGTTTGTTAAATGTGATTTTATTAGTGGAGTTGATTTACTGGGGAAAACCTCGCTGAGTTTCAAGACTCGGGTCCTTTGCTTCATGTTTATGCATGGTCCTCAATTCTTGGTACTTACATGTGGTACATTGCACACGAGGGACGTGATGCAAGGGCACTTAAGCGGTGGCTTGGTCATCAACGATGGAGGGATCTCCCCAAGCGGTCACCATCACTTGACGGTCTCGTGATGCAAAATTCCGTCGCTCCATCTACGCCGTTTTTTTTTCTCCCCTTGCAGGTCCGGAGCGGCCTTCGCCTCTCGCTGGCGCGGCCGCTCTCCGCGTACGCCCTGGGCCGCCCCGAGAGCCACGTCCTCGTGGCTGCACCGTCTGGCATGGGGAAGGTGGAGACGGCGCGCCGCGACTTCCAGACTAGCGCTGTCTCTCGTGACATCGACACCGCCGCCAAGTTCATCGGCGCCGGCGCCGCCACGGTCGGCGTGGCTGGGTCGGGCGCGGGTATCGGCACGGTTTTCGGAAGCCTCATCATCGGCTATGCCAGGCAAGGAGGAGGGTGAACAATGTGGTCTCGCATAATGTGCATGCAATAATGTGCGTTGATTCATTAACATCTACTATGCGTCTAAGGAACGAAACAGGTGGACTTCTCCACAAATCTGGCTGTCGCCTGATGAAGCTAGTTGTAATTACTGGCGAAACGTCGTACTCAGATTGTAAATGTTGTGGCTTGACTGGACTAGTAACGAATTGGCATGTTCTGTTTACATGACAAACCTTACTAATTGGATGTGTCAGGTGGTGGCGGGTTTAACGACATATATTTACGCTATCTAACCCAAAAAAACGATTATTAGGGTGACATTGTTCATCTCCAGTGTAAATGAATATTGCTTCTGCCCTCGATTCGAAACAGAATTCTCAAGTGTAGTAAGTTGATAATCTCAATTTCGTCATAATCAGAATATTTGTGCCTGAGAAATCCGATGAGGTATAACGCTCTTTCGCAGATGTCCACCAGTAGTTTAACAGATATCCACCAATGACTGCAATGCGAATGGCATCGTAACAGCGCGAAAGGGTAGGACAAATATCCCCGAGAGGCGCTCTCAAGTACGCATGTCACACATAAGCTCCCTCTAGTGGCGGCCCTTCCACAATAATTTGCATGCAGGGGCAATTGCAGGGCTGCACATTTTACCTGCACCATCATCATGCTGCTCATGGTTTCTCTACACGTTCAGCTTTTACAACTTGTTTGTATAACCTCCCCCCACCCTCCAGACACTAGGTAATCCAAATGGTAGAACTCTTATCGCATTTATCTGGTACCTTTGCACCAAAGTTTGGCAATCGATCATGTGATGGAGCGATACTGGTCGCGTCTCTGTGCCAGGAACCCGTCTCTCAAGCAGCAGCTCTTCTCCTACGCCATCCTGGGCTTCGCGCTGTCCGAGGCCATGGGGCTCTTCTGCCTCATGGTGGCCTTCCTCATCCTCTTCGCCATGTGAAGACCCTGGGGCCCCACAACCCCGGTCCCCGTGCGACGTTCGTCATTGGTGCTCCCCTCACGGCTGTTGCGGAGGGGTCGTGACCTTTCGACAGTTCCAGGCGTCCTCGCTACTCCGATGTTTTGGGTCTTGGTTTCACCGCCCAAACCCCCGCTTGTGTAGTGATGTCCGTCGCCGTTGTCGGGGTGTGTCCAGCAGTTTGTAAGATATGCGCCTCCGTAAAGGTCCCACGAATAAAATAAAATTTTAAAAATGTGCATTTGATACTGTCTTCTTTAAGTAAAATGGAGGCATGTTGCGTGTCGTGGCTTTAATTGCGATTGTCGACTATGTGCGGCGCGTGTGGTATTTACGGAGGAGATGGAGCGACGAGATCGGCTCGTGTGCAGGAAATGTGGATTGCTGCATCGAAGACAAATGCTCATTAATAGATTTGGGCAAAGAGCAGAATGTAGCAGGATCCTCCTGGAAACTAGTCTTGAGACTCAGAATCAGAATATACTGGAGAAATCCGATGAGCTATAAAGCACTTTTTTCACAGATGTCCAGTAGGGGCAGCTCAACGTTACCACGATACAAAAACAATAGTGTAAAGTATAGGAAAGGTACATAAAAACTTTATCTTACCAGGTAAGGTCCATTAATCTATAAGCGTTTTCAGAAGCGACCTGACCACAAATGAAAGCTCAACAAAGTGGATTATCGGCCAGGCTTTCATGGGTACATGACGACATTGCTGCTAATGAGGTTTATTAAAGCGTGTCGTGAGACTTGATGGTGGAGCGGCAGCCAAAGGAGAGAGCACGTCCGAGAGGCCGTCGGCCACAGAGACAAGTGGTGAGATCGACCCGCGTGGCAGGAGCTGCGTGGATCGTCCTGGGATGGAGAGGTGCCGACGACTTGCGGATTCTTCATCCAGCAGTGGATCACGGCTGCTGATGATGAGTAATGTGCATTCTAAATGTGTGCACGCATTACGCGTTCCGAAGATAATTTCCATCAGCTTCTGAAATATCGCGTGGGTCTCTTTAATCCGTGACTGATTGGCAGGTACAGTATATGTCCCGACAGCTCGGTTCAATTAGGTGTATGTGCTGTTTGTTGAACTTCTTTTGCACCGTACGTAGCCAACCGTGCGAATCGAAGGTGCGGGGGAAGGACGACAGCTTGTGATGTGTACGGCCAGGGGCGGAGCCAGGGGGGTGACAGGGGTGACATTCTGCGTGTAAGTGTACGACACTCGGTCTGGCGGACTCCGTGCAACTGCATTGTCAGAGTGTGTCGCCAACCGATGGCGTCTAGTTCAACAGCCTAACTCTCTCTTAATCATTCTTGAAATTAAAATGTGTTGAATGTCACCCCGGCCTGATATCCTGGCTCCGCCTTTGTGTATGGCGAACGTGTTTGGAAACCCTTTGACCCAATGATCCGGCTTATCCTCTCTCCCGTTCGCAAGATCGTACAATAGAATAGGCGTGTGCCATTTTTGGAGGGAGTGATGGCAGGAGAGTTGAATCTCAACAGGTTTAGCACGGTTGGTTACGTACGGTGCGAAATAAATTCAATATACATAGACTGGTCCGGGCTGCCAGGTGAGCGGAGTGACGCCTCTTCTATATGGCGGGCTGCCCCACTGGTTTGTGGTAATGACAGCGATCGCAAATATGGGAAAGGTGTATTGTGGTTATTTTGTAGCAACACCAGTGTGGTGAAGTATGGTCAAACAACCCCCATATGGTCGACACATGGGGAGGCTTTCGCCCAGCAGTGGATTGGCAAAGGGGCTTGTACATGATGGTGTTGTAGTAGCTTGTGGTAAACACACTATTATATAACAATAAGTTACGCCGTACATCATAGGGGTTGCTTGACCATACTTCAAGCTGGTTAGCGTAGCTTTAGTGAAGGATTACCGATTACAGTGCTGTAGTGTTTTATCCACTACATTATTTTAGAAGTTGTTAACTACAGTGCCATATTCTTGGTTCTTTCGGTAAAGTCACGTTGAAGGGAAACAAAATAATAAAATATATATAAAACAATAATATTCTCACGACGTACTGTTTACCTTAGTGTCTATTGCAGCATTTTATTGTTGTTGCAGTAGCGTTTAAGTATTACATCATTCAGTTTCTTTCATCGCGCTTTTGCCACACAGTATTTCATTTTAAAAACCACGTCTACGTTTTTGGCAGTGGCTCTCCTAATTCTCTTCGCTGCTATCGTGGCAGCAAAAAAAAAGATAACATACATTGCGGTGGCGCTCGAAACGAAAAATAAAAATATTGTCATTGATCTGACCCAGACGTGACCTTAAGAAGGGCCACTGGCCGAAACGTCGCCTATTATACATACCAACGCGAGGTGCCGTTGTGTGCATGTCCCAGCCAGGGCTGCGTGGAGCGCCACGTGGAGCCCGCGCTCAACAAACAGAAGGGGCGGGAAGCCCGAGCGGCTTTCGAGGGCGCGGGCCAATGGTAGGAAGGGGGCGGATTCCCCCCGCACCCCCCACAGCCCCACCCCAACACCCCCCTCTCACAGCCTCAATCCACGTCGACACCGGAGCTGTGCGGAGACTCAAACGTGGACCGGACGGGGAGTCGAACCTGGACCAGGGTCGGCATCAGGATGCGGACTAGGAACCAGGGTATGACCCGACCCGACTGACTGCTGGACAAGGCATAAACTGATCCACTCCGGATTTGACCTGACTTGAACCTGACCTGGACAGGACCAGAACTCGACCCTAACAAGCTTCAAGATTTGGACCAACCCTAGGGTATATGACTCGACCTGACCTGTCACTGGACGGAGCAGGACTCGAACCAGATCCACATCTGGAGCTGGATATGATCCGACCTTACCCTGACCTGAGCTGCCCCCGGACAGGATAAGAACTGGTCCGGTACGGTTTTAACCTGACCTGGACCAGACCTCGACCCTGACCTAGACCAGAGCTGGTCCGAACTAGCACCAATCTCATCAGGACTAACTGGACCTGGGCAGGATAAATTATCAGACTGGATAAAAAAACCCACCCGTACCAGTATCCGGCTCAGGATCGGCTCAGAATCAGAACCGATACAACCCGGACCAGACGAGTCAGGTGCCGGACTCGATCCGAGCCAGGGACTCAACTAGGACCGAACCCAGCTTGGCAACCAGTACAGGGCCGTGCGTGACACGAGCCAGGATCAAAGCTGAACCGAACCGGACCCAGGCTCGCTTGACTTGACCCAGGCGAGAACTGGTGGGCTAACCCTTCGCTGACCCATCCCTCTTTGGACCATACCCTAACGGGACGTGACCGTGCCCAGACCAAACTTAATACGGGACCGAAGCTGTGCCGACCCAGAGCTGTTCGGCCGGGCGATCTGACCCGACACGACCCCGTCCGTTTCACGCACCTAGACCTTTATTTACCACGTGTGCCGCGTCCTCGTGGCTCCGTGTACCTGTGCAGGGGCGGGGCATGCCTCTCACCTGTCCAGTGGGAAGGGGCTGGGGGAAGGCATGGCCCTCACCTGCTCCTGGAAGGGGGTGTAAACCCATGGGCTCGCAGCTGCTCGGCGCGCCGGTTATAAGGCGCGTGGAGGAGCTGTGCCCGCACACAGGTGAGAGAGTGGAGGAGCTGTGCCCGCACACAGGTGAGAGAGTGGAGGAGCTGTGCCCGCACACAGGTGAAAGAGTGGAGGAGCTGTGCCCGCACACAGGTGAAAGAGTGGAGGAGCTGTGCCCGCACACAGGTGAGAGAGTGGAGGAGCTGTGCCCGCACACAGGTGAGAGAGTGGAGGAGCTGTGCCCGCACACAGGTGAGAGAGTGGAGGAGCTGTGCCCGCACACAGGTGAGAGAGTGGAGGAGCTGTGCCCGCACACAGGTGAGAGAGTGGAGGAGCTGTGCCCGCACACAGGTGAGAGAGTGGAGGAGCTGTGCCCGCACACAGGTGAGAGAGTGGAGGAGCTGTGCCCGCACACAGGTGAGAGAGTGGAGGAGCTGTACCCGCACACAGGTGAGAGAGTGGAGGAGCTGTGCCCGCACACAGGTGAGAGAGTGGAGGAGCTGTGCCCGCACACAGGTGAGAGAGTGGAGGAGCTGTGCCCGCACACAGGTGAGAGAGTGGAGGAGCTGTGCCCGCACACAGGTGAGAGAGTGGAGGAGCTGTGCCCGCACACAGGTGAGAGAGTGGAGGAGCTGTGCCCGCACACAGGTGAGAGAGTGGAGGAGCTGTGCCCGCACACAGGTGAGAGAGTGGAGGAGCTGTGCCCGCACACAGGTGAGAGAGTGGCCTACCCAGGTAAGTGTGGGTGTCCAGGTAAGCCGTGTCACGCCCAGGCGAACTACATCACCCAAGTGAGTTATATCAGGCGAGCCACCCCATTTTTCGGATTATATGACGCACTTTTCCCCCCTAGTGTTTAAAAGCAACAGTTGTGGGTGCTTTTTTTTTATAATCCAGTAGGTTTGTATAAATGTTGAACTTCTTTCGCACCGTACGTAGCCGACCGTGCTAATCAGAGGTGCGTTGTGTGTGTGTGCGTTGTGTGCGCGCGTGTGAGAACCCAGAAATATATAATTGTATTAACAAACGGGTCCACACGCTTGGCGTGCGTCTTATTTTTGTTCCGAAGCGTCTTTACAATCGGGGGGAATGCGGTACATCAGGTGAGCTGTGGTCGCCGCTTCGGTGGTCGCGGTGGGTGGAGTGGGCGCCCCCCCACCGCCCCCCCCCCCCGCCCCCTGGACACTGGCGCTCAGGGCGAGGTTCTGTCATTCGCTCCGGACTCTTCTCGTTGCTTGCAGTCAGTGCATGACAGAACTTGACCCTGGCTGCCCCGAGCATGGCTTCTTACATCATAATCATCTTCATCATCACCATCGGCGGCGGTCGTGATCTGTCCACTGCTGGATGAAGGCCTCCCTCCCCCAAGCCGACGCGACGACGATCCACCGCCTCCTAGCACCACCGTGCACGCGAGTCCGATTTTCATCGCTCCATCTCTCCACGGATGATGTCCTCTCGGCGTGTGTGTGCGCGCACGCGCGTCTCTCTCCTTTGGCTGCCACTCCGTAGCTAGTCTCGACCGCGCGCTTTAATCCACGCATTGCAAACGACAATAATGATGTTGGTCCTTTGTTTATCCAGGAAAGCGTCACGGAATCTCAAGACTTGTTTGCAGGCGGGTCCTGCTGCATTGGGATGTTTGGCCAAATCCAAACATGCAGTTTGGCTGCATGTTTGGGAGGAAACCGGAGAGC